TTGGCAAAGCTGTTGAAGGACTTCTTTCCTGTTTAAGAGGTTTTCATGCTAACCAGGATACTTTATTTCCCTCTAAACTAGATCGGAGTGCTTGTAAGATATTCAGTCACTCTAGGAAATTGGGGGCTCGCCTCTTGGGAAGAGAAATTCAAGTATGAAGGCTTTCTGTTTTTGCACAGAAGAAATGGGAGGGATTCACGAAATAGGTTTCAAATTAAGACTAAACTAACACTGATGACAAATGACTCTGATTCTCCCTTTATTCCATCTGAAATTTTAGCTTCCACCTTAACTTCATGGTAGTGTCCCCAACCCCCACACCCTGTGGTCCTTCTCAGGCACCAGAGATGCTGAATCTTGCTTCTTGCTCCCACTGTGTCCTGGCAGCCTGCTCTTGGGGTCCTTCCCCTCTTCTCTTCTTGAACCTAGCTCATCTTGGAAGCCAAAAACCTAAAACCTACTTTCTTTACACTCACTGAGGTTATTATTTTTTCTAAACTGGACTTTAGATTGAATACAGATGATGTGAGTTCCTGATCATTTGGCAAGTGACTGAAACAAAACAGAAAAAGTCATTTATACATGACACTGTGTCATTAATCTAAGAGATAGTGGGGCAGTTTGCCAAGTGAAATCAAGTTCCTGGTATGTCAATGACTGAAATCTCCGTGAGCTATGTCCATGCTTCTTGAGTGTATGGTGAATTTCATCTCTGCAGTAAGTTGCCATCTTGTCAGCAGTTTCATTTTTTATGTCTCATATCCTGGTGCGGGGTGCAATGTGACATGGGAGCTGAAAAATCAAGGAACAAAATGAGAACAACCCCTATTTCAATAGGAGAGTGCTGCTCAAATATGGTGACTTTCAGAATTGCCTGGAGAACGAATGGAGAACATGGAAAGTCTCTGCACTGATGCTAATCACAGGCTTCTGAAACAGACTACATTCCATGATCAGTTATCTGCTGCATGCTGCTGGCCCTGGTGATTGCCTGGCTGATAGCAAGTGGAAGAATTGGGTTGGTCTTTCTTTACCCCAATATACATTCTGTGATGACATCCACACACATAAACACTGGAAAGAGAGCAGACGGCAAACTCAGAAGAGCTGGGTTTGAAAAGTGGGGAGAGGTGAAGTTTGAACAAGATGGCCATGAGCATTGGCTATGAGAGATGGAAGATGTGTCTAAAGTCTGGTGAGAGACAATTGAATTTACTCAGAATTGTATGCACTTATATTTTTTCTAACATTTGCAGTGATTGAATACCTTTAAATGCCAGCCATATTAAGCTGTCATAAAATCCCCATTGATGGGACTATGATATGATAATTGGCTAATTCTTGTTTTATTTCATTACCTGACAGCTGGAAAGGGACATATGCAAAACAGTTACAATATACCCATTTTACAGAACACAAGACTTATGGTCAAAGAAGGTGAAAACATTTGCCACATAACTTCCATGTGGCAAATTTGAAGTCATGCTTGTCTTGCTGTTTGTATACCCCCACCGGCATTTCTTGCCTTGTTTTTTCTTCATACCTCCTCTGGTTGGTGGATGATGTCATGTATTGACCAAAAATGTTTCAGCTGGAAAATGGCCCATGAAATCTAGAGGGACCATCCAGGAGAGAGGCCAGGAAAATAGTGTATGGCCCACTTACAAAATTCCATCCCCAAAATGGAGCATTTTAATTTATACCACACAAAAGTACTTTGAAGAACAGTAACTCAGATCAGTGCTATCAGATAGCTCTATGCTTTATAATACTGTGAACGTCGTAGTAGTTCTGCTTAGAATTAGGTGCTAGTTGTAAAAAAAAAGAGACTACAACCTATCTCCCTGAATTTTTATTCAAATAATACATAGAAATTTTGAACAACTCTGAAATTTAGTGGCACACAGCTGTAAATCCAGTGAGCTAAACCATGCTGGTTTTCATTATACTTCCATTTAATTTTCTAATTAATCTCAGAAAACATTAATTAATTTTGTCTTTTCCACAGTCGGCCTGGCACCCTTGGGCCTGAAACACACAAATATTGCTGGCCTCGAGCAGTAGTAATCAAAATTTCTAATTTGTTTGAGCAATCCACTGTCTTTCTCCTTACTTCTTTGTCTGCTGGGTACTTTAAGAATCCTTTAACCCCTTGGCTTTAGATTTTCTATGAATTCAAGAATGAAAAAATCAGTAGATCTCTCAGGCCAAAGAGAAATGATAAGACAGAGAGGAAGCCAGTCAGAGTTTTGATATGGAGACAAGAGTCGGACTCTGTGTTGGAGAATTCCGTTTCTGTTCCGGAATTATCATGATCTGGTGCCATTTTGAGTGTGGCATTACTCTGACATCTGCCCAGATATCCCTCAAGATCACTTGCCTGACTTGTCACATAGCTTTTACAATTTTTTTAATGACTCATCTTTTTTTTCTTCATGTTTATTTATTCTTTAGAGAGAGAGAGAGAGAGAGAGACAGAGCATGAGTGGGGTAGGAGCAAAGAGAGAGAGAGACACAGAATCTGAAGCAGGCTCAAGGCTCTGAGCTGTCAGCACAGAGCCCGATGCAGGGCTCGAATTCACGAACTGTGAGATCATGATCAGATTCCTAGTCGGACGCTTAACGAACTGAACCACGCAGGAGCCCCACTTTTACAATGTTAAGTGACAATGAAGTATGTGTATAATCACAGAAAAATGGACACCCGTAAAAGCCATAAGTGTTAGAGTGATTAGTTGCCTCTTACCTTTTTCCAGCAAAAAAACATGTATCTCATAATTTTACTTTTTGCCAAAATAACAAACGAACCAACAAAAACAGAAGAACAATTTCAAAGGCGATTTCCATATGTCAGGGAGTCCAATTTTGGAAGCAATGAGAGAAGAGTGTGTTATATAAATGTTAAAGTGCAGTGGGAAGTGACTTTCAGGAAAAATATTTGAGCTGTAATGCCAAAACATCATTTAAAATGAGTAATTTGCCTCTGTTGCCTACAAAGGGCATTTAAACTTTCTATATTTTATAATGTATATATTGAAGAACTTATCATGCTGTTCTATTGAAAATGCCTTTGAAATTTTACTGTGAAATATATTATACCAATAAAATGTTTGTACTGTATACTTTAAAAAATAATAGTAATAATAATAAAAGTAATGCCATTGGACCTACAACCAAGATTAGGAAACGAAGCATCTTCTGTTCTTAGCAATTCCCCCTATACTGTCCACAAGAGTAGCCCCCTCTTTGTCAGAGAGATAATTATAATATTATCTTGATTTGTGCCAATTCTTTGCTTTTTCATTCTGGTTATATTCATAGACCTGTATCCTCAAGCACTACTTTATTTACTTTCACCTGTTTTAGAACTTTTTAGTCAGTAACCATGCCGTATTACATTCCTATTTTTCAATGTTATGCTTTTCAGATCCACTCATATGAATGGATGGACAGTGATTCATTGATTTTGACTGTTGTACTTCATTATGTGAATATGGTACTGTTCAGTCATCCATTGTCATTACTTAAGGTGTTGGTTGTTTCCAGGATTTATTATTATTATTATACATATTTTAAATTATTTTATTTTATTTTATTTTTAGAAAGAGACAGCACATGAGCGGGGGTGAAGGATAGAATGAGACAGAGAGAGAGTCTTAAGCAGGCCCCATGCTCAGCATGAAGCCCAATGCAGGGCTCAATCCCATGACCCAAGCCAATAAACAAGAGTCAGATGCTCAACAGACTGAGCCACCCAGGCGCCCTTTATTTATTATTATGAACAATGTTGTTATGGATGTTTTATAAACCATCTCTTGGTTCTTTTGTACAGTCAGGTCCCTAGGCTATATACCTAGGATTGGACTTGGGTGATTAAAAGGTACACAGATGTTCAGATTTAAATGGTAATGCCAAACATTTTGCCAAAAAATATATCAATTTACCCTCTTACCAGCAGCAAAGTTTCTGATATTTTACATCCTTCTCCATGTTGCATATAAACTGATTAAAATTTTTTTTTAATATTTATTTATTTTTGAGAGAGGAAGAGACAGAATGTAAGCTAGGGAGGAGCAGAGAGAGGGAGACACAGAATCCAAAGCAGGCTCCAGGCTCTAGGCTGTCAGCACAGAGCCGGATATGAGGCTGGAACTCATGAGCCACAAGATCATGACCTGAGCTGAAGTCGGACGCTTAACCAACTGAGCCACCCAGGTGCCCAGATAAAAACTGATTTTTAAATAAAATATTTGACAATTCAATGGGTGGAAAATGTATCTTATTGTAGTTAAAATTTGCATTTGCGTGACTCCAAATAAGATTGAGGCCCTTTCCATGTATTTCAGCCTTTTTATGTATCTTCAGTGACATGTCTTTGCATAGCATTTGTCTTTTTTAAAAAATTCATTTGCTTTTCTATTTCTGATCATATTAAGAGTTCTTTACTTTTTCTGACTACTACTCCCTTGTCACTATATGGATTAGCAATATCTTCTTCCATTTTATGGCTTATCTTTTCACCAGGATCATGGTCTTTTTTATAAATAGAAATTGTGGTATTAAAAGATTTAAATTTATCAATTTTTATTACAATTCCCACTTCTTATGGCATGAATTCTTCTTTATATTGAGGTCATAAAGATTTTCCTAAAATGTCATCTTAAAGTTTTAATTATTTGGCTTTTGCTTTTAAGCCTTTAATCAACCCGAAATTGATTTGGATTTGTGGTTTCAGGTGGGAATCAAATTTCACTTTCTCCCATATGGGCAACCTACTTGCAAGCTAACAAATTAGTTTGCCATAGTTACATGGATACTGATAGAGAACTTGAAACTACCAGACAGAGACAGAGGAGATCTCGTCTGTCATAGCTGATGGAAGTAGCCAGAATGTCATCATTTTTGTGTAGGCTCTCCAAGCCCTAGTCCCCAGAGGTTGCTCTGAAGAGGGCAGGGGAATGTGTGCACACGAATTGTGTTATAGGAGAGGAAACCTGTGCTTGCTTCTGCAGCAAATATACTAAAATTGGGACGATACAGAGAAGATTAGCATGGCCCCTGTGCAAGGGTGACATGAAAATTCAAGAAGCGTTCCATATTTAAAAAAAAAAAAAAGGAGAGGAAACCCAAATTTAAGGCACTAAATCTTTTTCTTGAATTTTTAAAGATTTTTAAATTTATTTTGAGAGAAAGAGAGAGTATGCATGTGTGAGTGGGGAAGGAACAGAGAGAGAGAGAGAGAGACAGAGAATGCCAAAGAAGCTCTGTGCTGTCATCGTGGAGCCTGGCACGGGGCTCAAACTCACAAACCATGAGATCATGACCTGAGTGAAACCAGGAGTCAGATGTTCAACTGACTGAGCCACCCAGGCGCCCCTCCAATCATTCATAATGGGCAATGAGCCTATCTGAAGTTTGCCCCAAAAGGAAATATTATCTTTTTTGCATTACATTCATTGATTTTTTTGGATACTATTGATATCTTTAAATATTAAATCCTGTACAACCTGTATATCTCATTTTATTCCAATCTTTCTTTATGTCTTAATAAAGTTTTCAAATTTTATCCATAAAGACCATGGATGTTTTTGTTCAGTTAGTGCCTGGACAATGCACATATTTTTAATTTGTTCTTATAAATTAGGTACTCATTTCTTTAAAAAAATTTTTTTAAATGTTTATTTATTATTGAAAAAGAGAGAGAGAGGGAGAGAGAGAGAGGGAGACACAGAATCCGAAGCAAGCTCCAAGCTCTGAGCTGTCAACACAGAGCCCAACACGGGGCTCGAACCCACGAGCTGTGAGATCATGACCTGAGCCAATGGCAGATGCTTAACTGAGCCACCCAGGCGCCTCTAGATATTCATTTCTATAATGTTTTCTCATTAGTACTTCTGTTATAAAGGAACACTATTGGTTTCATTGTTGATTTCAAGTCCAACAACCATGCTCATCTCTAATTTTCCCAACATGCTTTCTGTTGACTTTGTTAGGTTTTCTATGGTAATTAGACCATCTGCTGTAAGGGCAGCTGTTTTGTTTGTTTGTTTATTTACTTATTTATTTACTTACTTAAATATAAGGGCAGTTTTATTCCATTCTTTCTTGTTTTTTATTCCTCTTTTCTTTTTTAAGTTGTATTACAGCACTTCTCAACTTAAAACCTTACAGCAGTTCACCTTACTCAGATCAAAGCCAATCTCCTCACAATGCCTAGGAGGCTTAAGGTGGCCTCCTTACACCTCTGACCTCAGCCAACGCTCTTCGTACTGGTGCCATTGCTGTAGGTGGACTGAGCACTTTACTATTCCTGAAACCTGCCACATACAGTTTGCTTTCAGAGCCTCTCAAGGATCAAGTGCTATTTGCATGAGCTGAGAATCCATGGCTTCCTCACATTTTACAACCTAAGCATCGCACTTGCCTTCTCTAGTCCAGATTTTGCTTTACACTTAAGTTTAGGTCTGTCTGGAAACTTCTTGCCTCAAATATCTGTGTGGCTTAATCCCTCACTTCTTTCAGGTCTTTGCTTAGATATTTCTTTATTTAAAATATGAATATTTTAAAATATTTAAAATGAACACCACTTACCTACACAAGCACTTTCTAGCCATCTTTTCCAACACCAGCTCTATTGAAAAGTAATTGACATAGAACATTGTGTAAGTTTAAGGTGCACAGTGTGATGATTTGATATGAGTATATTATGAAATGCTACTATCATAAGGTCAGTTAACACATCCTTCACCTCATATAATTACAAATTTTTTGTTGTAATGTGAAAACATGAGAGCTCTATTCTCATAGCAACTTTTAAGTATATAGTACAGTATTGCTAATTATAGTCACCACTTTGTACGTTAGTTTCCTTGAACTTATCTTCTACCTGGAAGTTTGTACCTTTTGACCAATATCTGCCCATTTTCTCCACCCCTCTGACCCTGGCAACCACCATTCTGCTCCTTGCTTTTATGAGTTTGATGTTTTCATATTCTGTATATAAGTGAAATCATATAGTATTTGTCTTTCTCTGTCTGACTTATTTCACTGAGCATAATATCCTGGAGGTCCATCTGTGCTGTCACAAGTGGCAAAGTTTTCTTCTTTTTATGACTGAATATCACTCCATTGTATATATATGCATACCACATGTGCTTTATATATCCATCCATTGATGGATAGTTAGGCTATTTCCATATAGCTATTGAGAATAATGCTACAATGAACATGAGCGTATAGACATTTCTTTGATATGGTGATTTCATTTCTCTTGATATATAGTTGGAAGTGAGGTTTCTGGATCATATGGTAGTTCTGTTTTGAATTTTTAAAGGAATCTTCATACTGTTTTCCATAGTGGCTGCATGAACTTAGATTCCCACCAATGATACACAAGGGTTCACGTTTCTCCACATACTTGCCAATATTTGTTATTTCTTGTCTTTTCGGTAATAGCCATTCTAACAGATATGAAGTAATAGCTTATTGTTTTGATTTGCATTTTCCTGATGATTTAGTGACTTTAAGTACCTTTTCATATATTTATTGGGCATTTGTATGGCTTTGGAAAAATATCTATTTAATTTCTCTTCCCATTTTTTAATTGGACTTTTTGTTTTCGTCATTGAACTATATGAGTTTCTTACATATCTTGGATATTAACCCTTTATCAGATATATGGTTTGCAAATATTTTTTGCCCTTTCATATGTTTTTCACTTTGTTCATTATTTCTATGGCTGTGTAGTGGCTTTTTGTTTTGATGTAGTTCCACTTTCAGATTTTTGCTTTTGTTGCTTGTACTTTCGGTGTCATTTCCAAAAAATCATGGAAATGACTGACATCAAAGAGTGTGTTTTCTTCTAGGAATTTTACAGTTTCATGTCTGTGCTTAAGTCCTTAAACCATTTCAAGTTAATTTTTGCTAGTAGTGTAAAGCAGCAAATTTCATTCTTTTGCATGTGGATATCTAATTTTCCCAGCACCATTTATTGCATAGACTATCCTTACACAATAGTGTATCAATATGCTATTGAGTATTCTTGGTTCCGTTCTCAGATAGTAGTTGAGCATATAAACTGGAATTTATTTCTGGGTTCTTGATTCTGTTTCCTTGATCTACGTGTCTCCAACCTTGCTCTTCCTCAAGATTGCTTTGGATATTTGGGGTCTCTTTTGGTTCCATGTGAATTTTAGAATCTTTCTGTGAAAAATGCCATTGGAATTTTGATGGGAATTGCATTGACTCTGTAAATGGTATTGGATAGTATGGACATTTTTACAGTATTAATTCTCATAATCCATAAATACAAATTATCTTCCATTTACTTGTATCTTTAATTTTTTTCATCAGTATCTTATGGTTTTCAGTGTATAGATCTTTCATGACCTTGACTAAATTTATTATTTTGGCTGCTATTGTAAATGAGACTAGCTTATTTATTTCTTTTTCAGATAGCTCACTGTTGGCATGTAAAAATGCAACTGGTATCTGTATGTTGGTTTTGCATTGTGAAACTATTGAGTTCGTTGATTCGTTTCAACAGTTTTTTGGTTGAGTCTTTAGGATTTTCTATATGTGAAATTAAATTATCAGCAAACAGAAATTCTTCCTTTCTGATTTGAATGACTTTTATTTCTTTTTCTTACTTAATTGCCTGGCTAGTCCTTCCAGTACTATGTTGAAAAGGAGTGGTGAGAATGGGCACCACTGAGGCTCCTGGGCGGTTCAGTTGGTTAAGCATCCAACTCTTGGTTTTGGCTCATGTTAGGATCTCATGGACTGTGAGTTCAAGCCCCACATCAGTCTTGCTCTGACAGCATGGAGCCTGCTTGGGATCCTCTCTTCCCCTCTCTCTCTCTACTCCTTCTCTGCTCTCTTTACCTCTTTCTCAAAATAAATGAACTTAAAATAAAAAAGAATGGGCACATATATCTCTAATCTTTGAGGGAAAGCTTTCAATCTTTCACCATTGAGTATGTGGTTAACTATAGGTTTGTCATACAAGGGTTTTATTATGCTACTTCTAAACCCAATTCATTGACAGTTTTCAACATGAGAAAACTGTTGGATTTTCTCAAATGCTTTTTATGCATCTACTGATGATCATATGATTTTTGTCTTGAAAGACAAAATGTACTATTAATGTGGTATATCACACTTATTTGCATATTTTGAGCCATTCTTGTTTCCTAGGAATACATCCCACTTGATAATGGACTCTGATTCTTTTAATTTGCTGTTAAATTTGATTTGCTTGTATTTTGTTGAGATTTTTTGCATTTGTATTCATCAAGTCTAATGGCTTGTAGTTTTTGTTGTATGTTTTGTATTATTCTCACCCAGCTTTGGTACAAGGGTAGTACAGGCATCATAAAATAAATTTGGGAGTACTCCATCTTCTTCAATTTTCAGAAGTATTTGTTAAGGATTGGCATTAATTCTTCTCTAAATGTTTGGGAGAATTCACTTGTGAAGCTTCTGGTTTGGGGAAGGTTTTTTTTTTTTTTTGGAGGTTTGGATTACTCATTCAATCTCTTGTTATTGATCTGCTCAAATTTTCTATTTCTTCATGATTCAGACATGGCAGGTTGTATAATTTCTGGGAGCGTATTAATTTCTTTTAGGTTGTCCAATTTGATGGTATATTATTACTTTTGGTAGTCTTATGATTCTTTGCTTTTCAGAGTTATCAATTGTAATGAATCCTCTTTCATTTGTGATTGTATTTATTTTAGTTCTCTTTTTTCTTTTGGTAAATTTAGTTAGTTTGTCAATTTTGTTTTTGTTTTAAAAAACCCAACTTTAATTTTGTTGACTTTTTAATTGTGTTATTCTCAATTTCACTTATTTCTTCTCTTACATTTTCTACTTCCTTCCTTCTATTAGCTTTGAGCTTTGTTTATTCTTCTTCTAAGTTTATTGAGCTATAAAGCTATGTGAGTTTTTTTAAAATGTAGGCATGTAACTCTATAAATTTCTCCCTTAGCATTGCTTTAGCTTTAGCTGCATCCTATAATTTTGTTATGGTATGTTTACGTTTTCATTTGCTTCAATATATTTTTTGATTTCCATTTTGATTTTATCTTTGGACCAGTGGTTGT